ACCTTAGACCCGCCCTGAGTGAGCTGTCATCAGTCCGCCATTGTTTCAATGCCGGAGCAGATGTAGACAAGAATGGCTCCTAAGCGATTGATGTGTTCTGTTTTTGGATGTAATAATGAACATAGCAGTCGTCATTTACTTCCTACATCTGAGCCGCTGAAGACGCAGTGGATTACGTTTGTTTTTGAAGGGAATGCGCCCCCCAATCTACCTAAATGCGTCTATGTTCGCGCGAATCATTCATGATCTAGCCTCACCTACAGAAGAAGTGAGTATCAGGTTCTTTTATGAATCTTTGCAAATCGCCTTCCTAATAACGTGCTAGTTAGCAAGTTTCGGGGCTAAATGCAGCTAAATGTGGCTAAAGTAAACAGTCTCATGAGAGCGGCTCCTCGCCCCACGGAAGAGAAGGGCAGAGCTCATTAGCATTTAAAGGAACATGCAATAAAACAAGTTGCTGAAAACAGAGCTGATTTTGAAAAGGAAAAAAGTGTGTTAACACTACCACTGAGAAATTTTAACCAAAGTATCCTATACTAACTGTATGTGTGTGTGTGTGTGTGTATGTGTATGTTAGACCAGTTTATGTGTTTATGTAGTCTGTTAGACTAGTTTAAGTGTTTATGTAGTTAATAAAACCTTACTTGTATCACACTTGACGTTGTTCATTGTTTGCTCATAACTGGAGTCACTTAATCATGCAGATTTATGCTACAAGCTTTTGTAGAATTGTACAGTAAGAAAGTTATTTCCCTTAACCAGGAAACTAACGTTCTTAGAATTGACAAGACAGTTGACCCTGAGAGGTCAGCTAAATATCTACAGCGGATCTAAAATATGAATAATTAATTATAACTAGTTATGGTTAATTATTAATATTTCCTCATGAGCTGAGTCGCTACACCCCTTTAAGATATTAGGTTGTAGTCTTTGGTGAACAGTCTGCATAGTAATGCATCATTTTGTGTAAAATATTTTGGTGATCTTGTCCACTTACACAGTGTTATCTCTTTCTCTTGTTTTCGTTTTCTCTGTAGTTTGAGGAGGATTGCGAGGTGAAAACCTCTTCTCTGTTGTTGTGTCGGACTCCTGGTGTTGATGCTCAGGTAGTTGGTGGTCATATGCTGGTTGAGTTTCTGTTGGATAACTTGCACTTTGACTTTAACTCTGTTAGCCAATCACCTTTTACCTATGAACCCAACCCAACCCTACACCCGCTGAACCACCGTGATCCCACAAAACCATATCGCTACAAACCTGGATCAGTTATATCAGTGGAGGTTAGTGGGACTTTTGCCATTGTGTTTTTTATGTATGTATGTGTTTGTTTGTCAGTTAGTTAGTTCTTGTATTTTTATGACAGTCAATATTGATTAGTTCTAAGGCACTTTTTACTGGAATAGTTGAGTCTAATTGTTAAATCACAGCATGGATTGATAATTCCTAATATCACCCATCATTACTTGTCATGTTTATGAACTTAATCTTGTGATTCTTCTTTTTCTTAGACCCCTTTTAATTTCTTTCTACAGGGTGAGAATTTAGACTTGGCCATCTTTAAAGAGGAAGTAGTAGCTCTGATTGGTGAAGGAGTTTGTACTGTTAAAACTTTGACACATAACCACCTTTATTGTGAGCCACCACCACAGCAGCCCCCACTATCCCTCAGGAATGGGCGCAAGCGAGAGGGAGCTGAGGCCTTTCCAGAATTTATAGTAAGCATGAAGCCAGCACCCTCTCACTTACATCTTCTATTATGAAGTGGCTGTGATTTGCATTTTTCTTTTAGCAGATATTGTATTGCATGAACAGGGGTTTATACTAGTGTGTGTGTGTGTTTGTCTGTCTGTTTCCAGGTGCATATGGGAAACCTGAACTTTTCACTGGGACAAGTGCAGTATGATTCTCCTAGTCACTCCATCTTTCCACTGGTGGCACAGATTGGGGTTGGATCAGTTGCTTCTCTTGTTGCTCTTATTGTGCTTATCATCGTGTTTATATACAGGTGTGTACGTAATATGTAATGAGAGATTGTGCTAAATACAGTGCTGTGAAAAAGTTAGTACCCTAGAGTATAGCTTGTTAATGAATGTAATGTTATTGATAAATAGCAATATTATTTAACAAATGACTCTTAGATGTACATTTTAGAATAAATTGCCGAGTGTAAATCGGAAAACAGAATGCCCATTTCATGTTTAATGCTTACCTGCTACCAATGAGTAATGCAATAAATCAATATTGAAACATTTATAGACTGGTATATGAACGTAATTGATATTTTGTGCTCTGATATCTCTTCCACTTAGGAGAAAGAGTAAACAGGCTCTGAGAGATTATAAGAAAGTTCAGATCCAGTTAGAGAATCTAGAGACCAGTGTGAGAGACCGCTGCAAAAAAGAGTTTACAGGTAATTTATGGCTACATTTAGGATCGATTTTAATGATTTTATATGGGATGGTTCACCCAGAAATGAAAATTCTGTCATCATTAACTTACCCTCATGCCATTCCAAATACTTATGCCTTCATTCATCTTTGGATGACACAAATTAAGAAAATTAGTTATTTCCTCATCATTTTTGTCTATCCATTGAAATGGACATTTTAAATATTGATTATATTGACTATATTTGAAATGACACGAGGGCGAGTAAATTATTAATTTTTAACCTAAATACATTTTTTGATGTACTATCCCTTTAAGTCTAATAAAAGCTGTAAGCAAGGCCAAAATATATTCCATCATTCATTCAAAGTGATAAAATGATAATCAATAAAATTATACCATTTGGAACTAATAGTCAAAATATTAGTCCACTTGTTCCACAGCTTCTGAAGAGTGGCATTATTTGAAACATTACGCAAACCTTCTCAAAATGTTTAAATTGCAAATTATCCAGTGCAGGATTTCAGCCAAAGTTTTCCAAACCATTTCTCATGAAAATCTGACCTTTAATAATCAGAGATTTGACTCTTAAACTTCCACAGATCTGATGACTGAAATGATGGATGTGACAAGTGATCTGGTTGGATCAGGGATTCCTTTCTTGGAGTACCGTATGTATGCTGAACGCATCTTTTTCCCTGGACACCGTGAGTCCCCACTTCGCAGAGACCTGGATGTGCAGGAGTGTCGACGGGCCACAGTGGAGCAAGGACTCATTCAGTTATCTAATCTCCTAAACAGCAAACTCTTTCTCACAAAGGTAGCGAAAATCATTTTTCCTCACTGCTGACCTTTGACAGATTTCTCAGAGAATTACCCATTACATTATTACAAACAGGGAATGTTTTGGAGATGTTTTTGAAGATGAGAAAGCACTGTTAACCAGAGGCGGACAAAGTACACAACTCCATTACTTAAGTGAAAGTACAGATACTGCTGGTCAAATATTACTCCATTACAAGTAAAAGTTGTAAAGACAGATTTTTTACTTAAGTAAAAATACAGAAGTACTTGCTTTTAAAATTGTTTTATTATTGTTGTATGGAATACTTGCAATACCTCTGAAGCAATGTACAATACATTACACCTACTGAATACACTGACTAGCTTGTAGTATCTTTTGGAATAAAGAGCTTTTAGAATGTTAAAAACCTATAGGGAAAAAATATATTAAAATATTTAACACCCCTACCCACCCCCACAAAAGCAGGATGGTAGTGATCTCACACAGCTCTGGACACATCTATGTGCAACCATTCATCCACATTTGAACAGAGTGGACAGTGAAAT